TCAATATGAGCTTTGCTGTATGTTTATTTAGTTTTCTTTACTGGTTTTCTATTGTATATTTCCGATTTTTTTATTTTCTTAGTAAATTAGGATCCAGATGAATTTTTTTTAAACTTAAAAAAATACATCATTGAATATCTAAATATGATACTTGATTTTATACTTAGATTGATTTAAATATCCAGTTTGATTGGTACTGTACGTATGGGTTACCAGAACCAGATCGGAAATTTTCTGTACGTAGTGTTGTACATTTTGACAGCCCGAACTTTTTTGGCCTGAGACGTCTCACAATTTTTAACTTTAAAAAGCTACATCAAGCAATAATAAAATATATGTAAAATTAAATTTTAACCATTTTTATATAAGAACTCAAAGAAGATTTTCTTAATAAAATCTTGAGTTATTGGCATTTTGTAAAAATCTTAAATTTGTCCCAAATGTCCGTGTGCAACACTGCGAGTTGTGTATTAACAGGCACGTAAATAAATATAAATATTGGCGTCAGATTTTTTATAAACAATATACATAGCAATATAAATGTTACGTAGTCAAATTAAATAATCTAATTGAAAATTATAACTGTTATCGTTATAAGGGACGATAAAGAAAATCAAATTTATGTATATTATAAAATATTAGCAAAGAACTAAGTGACACAGCATTTTTATTTATATACGATAATAAGGCCAATTGAACGCACTAATGTTACACAATTATCATTTAGCGTTATATAGAAAAATAATAATAAATATATATATCAAGTCATGCAACTCGAATTTTTCAATTTACAAAAAAGGCTACATTATAACTTTGTTCTAAAAAAACAATCGAATTGACGTGTTTATTAAAAAGCATGTATGATAAGATCAAGTAAATTAACGTTTCATACACAAAAATTAATGTGATTGCCACACTGCTGCCATGAGTAATTGGAATACGTACTGATCTTTTCTGAAAATCATTAATGCTATTGCCACGTTGTGTATAAAGTAATATGATACGTATGGTGTATATTGTTTAGTGCAAATTATGACAGGCACTCAAAAAATAAGATAATACATCTTGATCCATTTGTGCATTTAACTATTATAAAAAACCGATTAATAGATAGAACCGAATCCCTAATATCCCTAATACGCACATTTGCAAAGAATTTCTTTCAGTTATAAAAAAATAGTTTTTACCTTAAAAACTATAGTGTTCAACCAAACTATATCATAACCTTTGAAAAGAGAACGCTCTTAAACGTACATACTATCTAAATTTACTAAAATTTCAGTCAGTGCGTACGTATTATATAAATGTACTACCTGTTACCGTATAGATTACCTGTTACTGATTTATCATAACTTTTATTTTACACACCTATTACTATATTAATAAACACACCAGATACATATACGTATACGTACAACTTAGAAATTAATCACAATAATAGTACGTGCATGCGCATAACGCCATAAAATTAATGTGACCAACCAAGGTGGCTTGCTAAGAGGCGCGTCACACATTAAAGCTACGTTATTATTCTACGCGTTGCGCTACATCATATGTACTGAAGGAATGAAAAAGAAGTAAAATTTCTTTATATTCATTATTCTGTAAATACTAATTTTTTTATTTAAATGTCTTTTCGAACGATTTCGTCGAAAATAACTAGGATGCATAAGTTAAAGATGATTACCTTATAGATCTTAAAAAATATAAACTTTTAAATTTTTTATTTAAGATAAAGTTTCGGATTTTGAATAAGGTTTCATACAAAAAGACTCAACGTTTCGATTTAAAGTATGTATTTAATGCTATGCTGTAATTAATTATATCGCAGACCATAATTCAATTTTATGCGTACATCTCAAGATTATATAAAATGCGCATAAGTTCCCGATTAATCATGTTCTGGATCTTTTTTCCTTATAAAAAGAACAAAAAAAAAATAAAATAAAACGTCTAAATCCTTATTCATTCACTTTTTAGATATTAATGTCAAACCGTTCATTTATCGCATGATTCATGTGCATAAAACTTACATAAATTCAGTTAAATCTATCATACAGTAGTTGACAAACCTTAGGTTATTTTGAACGTAATATAAATAAGCGTGCATCAATCCCTTTCCGATGGCCCATAAATGTGAGATAATCCCTGTGACAAACAGCTATGTGCGGACAATGTCTAATACGTAACATGCCCATATTTAGAATTATAAAAAAATGCCATAAAAACCCGGGGTGAATAAAATAATGGAAATGAATGAAATGAATAGAGAAAGAATAAGAAAAGAAATAGAAAAAAGAAATAGAAAAATAATAAACAAAAAATAGAAAAAGAGTAGAAAAAGAATAGAGCAAGAATAGAAATGAATTGATGCCATTCTTAAATAATTATTAAAAAATAGTACGTATTTGATATCAGTTTTATAACGTTAACATTAATAAATTACAACAAACACAATCATAATCAAAGGATTCTAAATTATTAAAATAAAGACTGATAAGAATTCATAAAGGTTTATTATAAGAAACAATAAGGAAACCGGGAAGCCTTGTTCCCGTTTATAATACATTAATATAACTTTGATTGTCTCCGGTATAAAGATATTTCAGGAGATAAATTATCCGGAACAAAAACTTAAGGGTGAACCTTGATTATATAATAGTAATGATGTAACTTACACTGAAACGAATAAACGTGATTGTAACACCATGTATATGCAATGTTTGGTTTTTTTGGGCGATAATCCTATTATTCATTATTCATATTATTCATAATATTTTTGAAATCTTCATTCATTGGTGAACATCCGAATTTATTATGGTCGAAAAATCAAAATCCATTCATCCTATTGGTAACTTAATGTGATATATAATATTAAAAATAAATCTTTCTTTAACGTTAGTTACAAAAGATTAACTGACATTTCTTATTTTTATTTCCATTTCTGAAAAACAGAGCAACCATTTCTAAAAAAAAACCTATAGAGGAACGTATGATCATCTAATCCAAATCAATATAAAAACATCTTTCAATCATTTTTTTTTATCTCTATCACTTTAACACGGTACTCACTTATCTATTTGTTTTTTTTTCCGTTCGCGTAATTTGTGACTTTTTTAAATAGTACGAATTGCCTTTTTAAATTTATCTGCTGGTTCATTATAAATTGTGACATTCTCCTGTTGTTCATGTGCTCATCTAATACTTTCATGCATCATTGCATAACTGCATCGCATTAAATAATTTTGATTTGATTAGTAGGCTTTTTGTACTGTATTAAAAAAAAAAAAAAAGCTTAAAAGTACCATTGGACTTTTTTGTTTTTATTCTTATTTTTTTTTTACATTTTTATTATTATTTTTTTTTCCTATCAAAAATTTTTGTTAAAACTATGGACTTCCCAAACGATGTATTACATCACATAAATGTAGCTGTAGTTGTGATGATATTAAAAACAACTCATGGTTATACTTTTGAAGGCCTCAATGATTTAAACGGTATGTATCGGTATGATTTTTGTTAATCGTTATGTAAAATTCCCTTTTTTTAAAAAAATTATATTAACCGTTATATTATTTTTATTATTATCTTTTATTATTATCTTTATTATTGTTATATTAAATGTTGAATTATTTTCATTTTCACTTAAAGACAAAGACACTGGTATGTCTGATGAAATGTGGGTAATGTCAGAAAAACTCCATGATATATTAATAGAATGTTTACGTACTGAAGACTCTGTATTAAAATTCATTAACTGGTTTTTCGACGGGATTCGAAAAACTTTTGGTTCTCGAGATGATATAAATGATAATACTTTATCACTTCCTGATGTTTGTTTTCAATGTGAACATCCTTATACCAGTGATAAATGGTGTAGGTCTTGTGAAACTTATTTATTCGAAGCAAATTTTCATAATTGGTCTACTGGAAATGTTGAGTTGAATAAATTAATTCGTCAATCTCAACTAAATTCTGTAAATGATCAAAATTTCTTGAAATGGTTTCCTTTCTCTCAATTTAAACATTTAAAAGATATTGGTTCCGGTGGTTTTTCTTCAATGTTTTCAGCTCGTTGGTCAAATGATGTTTTGGATGGTACTTTACAACAATGGGTTACAAATATGGAAATACAAATAATTCTTGATTATGTTAAAAGTCATAATGTACATTTAACTGAAGAAGATTGGGATACTATCTTGTCGGAATTTATGAAAAAAATGAGAGCAATTTTTGAAGCTCGTAAAACTTTGAAATGTAAACCTATAAGCGAAAATGATACTGAATCTATAAAGGTTTGTGTTTTTATTACTAAATTATTGTGTTAATTACTAAATTGTTATTTTAATTATTAAATTGTTGTAATTACTAAATTGTTGTTATCTTTATTTTGATCATTAAATTGTTGTCTTTTATTTTGCTTAGTCATCACGATTTAATAGTAGAATTGGTAGTCGGGTTAATAGTTTGAAGATGAAAAGAAAAGATAGTATAGCAAAAATCAAAGGTCTCTTTCGATCTCTAAAAAAGGTATATATATACGCATATATATATTATATGTATATTATTTATTTTTTTATATTATATGTATATTATTTATTTTCTTTATATGCATATTATTTATTTTTTATATAATTCTACAATAACAATTCAAAATGTATATTTAGAATCATTCTAGTACTTCTCTACGGAGTACACGTACACCTAGTTCCGATTCTATACACGCAACTTCAAAGATGATTAAGCATGTGCCGGAAACAACTTCTCCTTTGAAGAAACGTCTTTATCAAACGGTTGCACTTAAACGATTACATAATTCCTCGAATATCTCATCAAAATTCATCAATGAGGTTCGACAATTTTTATTCTTATCTTTGATGTATTATTTCTCATTATATATATTAATATATATGTTTAATATCTTTTCTTATTATATATATATTCTTATTATGTATATTCTTATTATATATATTTTTATTATATATTTATTCAACTACACAGTTTAAATCTTATCAATCGGTTTTGAAAAGTGATAGAATTCTTCGTTGCTTCGGTTTAACTCAAGACCCCGAAACAAGTGATTATTTTTTGGTCTCACAATACGCAAATGATGGTGATTTAAATAATTACCTTCGTCAAAATTTTGTTAATATTGATTGGTGGCAACGATTAGAAATATTAAGAAAAATTGTAAGAGGGATAAAGGACATTCATGATGCTAATTTGGTTCATCATAATTTACATGGTGGTAACATATTACGTCACATAGAAAATTCTTCTTCAAAATATTTGATCGCTGATTTTGGTTTATATTTTCCTGTTGATGCTACTGAAAAATCTCTTGGTACAAAAATTTATGGTGTATTACCTTTTATTGCTCCTGAAGTTTTACGTGGTGATCCTTATACTAAAGCCGCTGATATATATAGTTTGGGTATGCTCATGTGGCAATTTACTTCTGGTGTACCTCCTTTCCTTGATCGTCCTTATGATTCGGATTTAGCTAAAGATATTTGTGAAGGTTTAAGACCTGTTATTATTGATGGTGTTCCTGATCGTTATATAGATTTAATGAAACAATGTTGGGATTCAAATCCAAATAAGCGTCCTGATATAGATTCAATTTTGAAATTTACTTCTTCAAAAAAAGATTATTCTACTTCTTTCACTGAAGCTGAAAAATTTAGACAAAATTCTTTGACTAAATCTCCTCAAATTGATATAGATGATTCTTTGAAATTTCCTTCTTCTAAACTTCTTATTTTTAATAATCTTCCTGAACCAAAAAATTCTGAAATTACTCTTAAATCCGGTATATCTGATATATCTCTTAATTCTAATGATGGTCCAAAAATTTCTGATTCTTCGGAAAATAAACCACAAGGTATATTTATTTATCCTTTATCCATTTTTCGTTTTAATTTTCTTATTTTACTAAATATCTTTACTAAAGATCTTTACTAAATATCTTTACTGAAGATCTTTACTAAAGATCTTTACTAAATGATCTTTACTAAATGTATCTTTACTAAATGTATCTTTACTAAATGTCTTTATTAAATATCTTGTTATCTGGTATAGGGAATCATCAGATTAATCTAAGTATCGACTCTGCTGGTACGTTTAAATAAATATTTTTTTTGCATTCTCATTATTCTCATTATTCTCATTATTCTTATTACAATTTTTCTTAATTATTTTTTTAAATATTTACAGTCGGTATGTCACCAATGAAATAAGATATAAAAAAAACAAAGATAAAAGTACCGGTTATATTTTTTAATTTTTTGTATTTAAACTCTTTTTCTGTAAAATATTACGTCGCTATTTAGAATAGAATACTTGGTGGTTTTTTTTTTTTTTTAAAAAAAAAAAGCAAAAAAAATATGGGAGGGTATATAATATACACATGTATTTTTAGTTTACCAAATTTTTTTTTTCTTTATTATAGACATTTGTTACATTTTTTTTATTTATTATTTGTGAGATATTATTTGATGGTTTATTTTATTATTTTTATTATTATTATTACTTCAATCAATTGCATTTGTATTTTACAAAAAAAAAAAACTATTTTTTTTTTTTTTTGTCGTTGTGACTGAATTTTCATGAAAATCGAATTTTTTTTTTTTCTTTATACAGTATTATAATAGAATTGTTAAGATTATTATATATATATCAAAAAAAATACATGATTTTAAGAAAAAAATATCTGATATGAATTACAAAAAAAAAAAAAAAAAAACGGATTCAAAAATAAATAAGATTATACGTAGTATGGATTTATGAAATTGTTATTCTTGTGAAATTATGAGATTATAAGATTATAAGGGATTTTCGATACAATCTCTCTAATGTTCTTACGAATGGTACGTATATTCATATAATTCTTTCATTTGTTTATTAGATCACCCATTGCACTTATTTTTGAGAATGTGATATTTTGAGGGCAGGGACTGCAAATTACCTATTTTTGTGGCCCGGCCCGACCCGCAAATTTTTGCGGGCCGGGCCGGGCCAAGGGACCCAATGCAGGCCTCTTGTATGAATATAGAAAATCATTCGTAAATTATAAAAATACTTTATCGTTATTCGTATTGAAAATTTTGATTATAACGCTTTGTAAAAAGGTGTAACCTCATGATTTTCATGATGGAGGTTTTAGAGATTTTAAATTGTTTACCGACTATATTTTCAATCAGTGATGTCTATATTTATTCGGAATCTGTAAAAAAAATCTGAAAATTGCCTGATTTCCCATGCAAAGGTCACACCTTTTTTTGCAAAACAGTAATAAGAAAATCGAACGTTAATCAAGTGATTGTACACATAAGTTGCGATCTGCAAATTTTGATCAAAGACATTAGGGTTTGCGGTTAATCGCGTCTCTTAATTATAGGTTACACGACTAATAATTGGTTAACAGTTTATTAACCGTCTTTGCATCGTTTAACCGTTGATTAATTGTTTGACGTTTATTAATCGTTTAACTGTTTATTAATCGTTTAACTGTTTATTAATCGTTTGCCCGTTTACTATTCGTTCATCCTTTTATTAATCATTTAGTTGTTTATCCGTTTAACCGTTATTAATCGTTTAATTGTTTATCCGTTTAACCACATTTTAAACGTTTATTGATTGTTTTACCAATCAACAGTGTTGTCAAAAGGGTTGTTTATCACATTCCTTTATTAATTTATTTATCACGTTACGTAATAAATAATACAATAAAAAGTGCGACAATTATCAATGAACAAACCGTTTTGACAACACTGTCAATCAATTAATTAATTATATGTCACATTATATATTAATTATACAGTAATTTTAAAAATAATTCTTTCTAAATGAAGCTTTGAGTCGAAAACCGAACTTTCCTAAGTTATTGAGATTATATAAATTTGCATGACCTGTTTTCTTAGCATTAATAAAACTTAGTGATATACATTTATCTCGTAAATAATAATCTTTATTATATCAGTAATTTTATCATATGATTTTTGTAGATCACATAAATCGACGTAGTTGCACTTTTAAAAAATTTGGTATAAGTTTTAAATATAATAAATAATACTTATTAAAACAAAAACATTGCTGAACTGATAAAAAAAAAACTCTCTCCCGTACATCACAAAAATATAGTAAATAAAAAAAAAATAGACAAGCTAGAGACTGACACCTGTACTAAATAATTATAAAAAAGCCTTGAACAAGCGTGCATTCGTGCACAACAAGAAGATAAACAGAAATAACATAAGTAAATAATACAAAATAAAGAAGAAAAAGATAGCAAAACAGAATGACAGCACAAAGGAAAGCTTTTCCAACTTA